CTTTTTGTCTAGTTATCACATTCTCTTGCTATGAGATTCGCTTTTAAGACTCTTTTATGACACTTAGCGTTACATGTCGCCTCGTTGGTATTATTATTTCCTTCCATTTATTGTCGAACCTCTCTGAAAAATTATCGTGTCTCGTCTGTGTTGTTAGAAAACCCAACAGCTAGTGGCGGTTTCTCTTCTTCTTCTTCTTCTTCTTCTTCTTCTTCTTCTTCTTCTTCTTCTTCTTCTTCTTCTTCTTCTTCTTCTTCTTCTTCTTCATCTTTGATTGTACCATTCATGTTTTTTGAGAAGGTAAATTATTAATATTAACCAAGTATTAAAGTTGAAAAAATCGTTGAATAAATCTCAAAAACTTTTTTTCAAAAGCCCCCTTTTTTTCTGGGCTTCCTCCCTTTAGCTCTTTTTCCATTGACAAGTAGTAAGCATTGCTGAATAATTTTCCTCTTTTTTTTTCCGTCTCACCCTTTTCTCTCCCGCCTCCCGCATCTCTCTCGCCCCCATGTATTCTCCCGTTTTCCAACCCCCCTGTTCTCCCCCACAAGTGTAGGCAGCCTAGAGATATTCCTTAAGAGAAACCGGGGAAGTGAACGGAAACTGTACACGTCAATGGATGGTGGCATTTATTATATTCAGAAAGAATATAGCATGAGGGGTCCCTTTTAAATCTTTTTAAGGTGAGAAATCAGGTTTATCAACTCTGCGGATGAAACTAACTCCCCATACCAATGCACCGCCAAAGTTCTGAGTAACCTTGCGATAATTAGAAAAAGCTCTTTTTTTCTCTAGGGAGCGCGAAAATCACCTAAAAGTTGCCTCCAAAGGAAAAAGAATACAAGGACCGCCTTATCACTAGTTATTTCCGAGTTAGGGCTAATCAACCGAGTCCTTCATTTCGTAGTTGTAAATTAGAAAATAAGAAAAATCTTGTAGTGTCAATGCATCAAAAACGTATAACGTAGCCAAATGCAGGAGAGCTTACTTTAAAACACTTCGAAATTACCGACGAGCGTGTTCAATCAGCAGAGCACAAAAAAATTCTAGATTAACACCAAATATTTGCTCGGGGCAAATATGATGCAAAAAAGTGCAAACTAGGAGGAAACCAGGGGGAAAGATGGTAAATAAAGGCAATTGCATCCTAATTTACATGATAGGGTTGCAAATTCGGGGGCAAATGCGGTATTTACCATCTTTACTTATTTCCTTCTAGATTGTACTTTTTCGTATTATGTTTGCCCTGAGCAAGTTTTGTGTAAATCTAATTTTATGCACAGTGAAAAAATATTTAGAAACTTGACCAGATTTTAAAATTCAAAGATGTATCTCAAATCTCAATTTAGTGCCTAATCTGTACGCATAATAGGGAATCAGTGCAGTCTTAAACTCAATTGAAGAAATAACAATCCTGACCTCGGTTTTTATATAACTAATGATCTTTTATAGGTTGTCCTCATTATTGGACTCAACACCAATGTTCTTGCAATAAACTATCCTCTAATACACTGGAATGGATCGCGGCAAAATTTGCGTGTGAAGCACTCGGATCTAATCTCGCAATGTTGGATTCACCAGCTGAACAACGAGAAATTGGTTGGGGAAGCAGGACATGGATTGGTTCGCACCGTGACTCAAGCAATAACTCACGCTGGCAATGGGTTGATGGTTCGTTAGCGGTTAACCTAAACTTTGCTTCTAACCAACCAAACAACTGGAAAGGCACTGAAGATTGCGTAGAAATGTATCCGTCAAGGAAATGGAAGGTCTTTAACTGTAATACTTCTCTTCATTATTCTTGCGAATTGTCCTCGGGTAGGTCACGTTATAAATAGTTTTAGATTCAAAGAGACGTATCTCAAATGTTGTCCGGCAATTTGTTTTTTTTTAAAGAAAAGTCACAATGGTATAGAATGAAATAATTATAGCTCCTAAGGACTAGCCTATTATTTTATACTTGATACTAACTTATGCCATGCACTTGTGTAGCGCATTTTCACCTATTTATATTTGTACCTATTTATATTTTCTACTGACAAACACACACACATACATACAAAAAAAAACTCTAAAACCGCTATTATTCGTCTGTGGTCATTGCCCAATAGCGGTTTTCTGGAGGATTGGATAATATTTTACCAGATTTGTAACACGATTGCACGACGGTTTTATGTTCGATTCTGCAGTAAACACAACCTGATCTCAGGGTCCTCTCCTACTCTCCGAAGTAAGAGAGACGCTCCGGAGAAAAACTAGAATAGGACCCTGGAAAGCAGGTTGCAGCAAACTAAGGCGAATCGCGAATTTACCTGAAATCAAGGACACAAATAACTCCTCTGCGAAAAAGTGTGTTGCTAAAATGTCCTTACGTCCACGAGCAGAAGGCCGGTAACTGCATGGTCGAGCAGACAGCGAAAAGAAAAGTGATTTTTTTTTTCTTATTCGGCTGGAAGAAGTTTCATTCCATTGTCTTGAGTATTCTTATGAAATTAAATTAAAAAGACAACAAATGAGAAGACAAAAGGAAAAAAAAAAAACAGCAACAACAAAAAAAACAGAAATTTCAATTAATAAAGAGCCTAAATTGAGGACCAATTCCGAGATAACAGTTATTATTAAATACTGTAGACAAAGGCAAAACGCGGTTATGAATTTTTTGACCCATTTAACTAAGGTCTATTAAGTATTACTAATCTATTAATCAGTATCGTCATTGTTTATTTTCTTTACTTTTTTAAACTTGCTTCATATCTCCTCCTTTAAAGGATTTACGTGCCGAAAACTCTCCTCCTTAAATGATGTACAAATTTTGCCCGACAGTTGTGTTTTAAACAATCAAAGATACGGCTCAATTTGCTCATTTTCCTGCGCTACTGGAAAACAAATTAGTAGCCCTTCATATGCTCGGTGCGGAATAAGAGGATACTGGAGCGGGGAAGTGAACGAAGTCAGCTGTAATGGTTCGTATAACTCTAATTTTTGTTTCTTACTACTTTTTGACCTTGTTTTTCTCTTGATGCTCCAAGCAGCGTTAAAAAAATAAAGGCGGATGGATGTTGTAAAAGAAATAAAGCGCGAAGTCACTGGTTAATATTGGTCCATAGAAGAACCAGCTAGGGGTAATGTTACCCAGTCCTTTATTAATAAACAAGCATATAAAATTATTTTTCATCACGGGAAACAAAACGCTTCCGATCTGCATCCAAGTATATGTAACAATGCTCGGTGCAATCGGGCCATAGGATCGACGTGGAACATGTTAACGCAATATATAAAATTTTTAGAAATAGGATTTTAGCCTTCTCAGCAGGTGCTAAAATTGCCATGGAAAGAAGGCATCCACCATTCCTTCCACACAATTTTAAGAGTTTTAGGAGCAGCCTCAGAAACTACGATTAGAAATTGGATTGTTGGACAATTGGGTTGTTTTCACATGACGTCATGACCGCCATGTTGGTGTGCCAAACCCTTCCTGTGGGAGTTGAACTTTGTTCTTATTTTCTAATTTGCATAGCTGCTGGCCACGTGGGTAAAACGCTTTATACTAAAACATTGTGAACAGTGAAAACATCGCCCTACTATTTTTTTTTTTTTTTTTTTTTTTTCAGGCCCAGTTTAAACATCGAACTTTTCATTACCAAACTCCGTCAACTAAGTACAAGAAAAGATTGACGTTTGAATCAATTAATTCTGGCATATCTAATCTGGCTCGACCCAAGCGACTGACTTTCATGTGCCGAACCTAATGGATAAATGACTATCATTTATTTTCACTGGTAACCGTTGAGACTATGCTAACATCTTGAAAATGAATTGAGTCCTACTAATTTTTAGTTTGACGTATGATTCCACCCTTTGGACTTTTTATCAATTGGGTCGACCCAAATAGCTATTAAGTTCGGTACATGAAAGGTTCGAAGTTTGAATTGGGTCTTAGTCTCCTTCTCTCCCATTCGCCCGCAGTGATTTTCGTTTTCAACTCAACATTTTAATGTATTGTTTCGTAACTCTTAAAAAGAGCAAGGCAGGTTTTTATGGAATTTTCATTGACAGAAACACATCCATTGGATTTCCAAGTAGCACTGAATCTTTGTGGCATTGCCTTTTAATTGTTTTGTTATTTAGAATGTCAAGAGGCTCTCGGTATGGAGAAAGGGGCGATTACTGACGGGCAGATTAGTTCTTCGTCACAGCTTGATGCCAACCATGAAACCAGCCAGGGTAGACTGAACTTAAAAGGATCGTGGTCAGCTTACGCTAATGACGCTGAGCAATGGCTACAGATTGATCTAGGTAGCAATCCTATCACTGTCACACGGGTGGCAACGCAAGGAAGTAATTTAAAGAGCCAGTGGGTAATAAATTACACGCTGAAATACAGCGACGACGGTTTGAATTTCCAGTTGTACAAACAACAAGGACAAAGTCAGCACAAGGTTAGACAACTCTGCAGACATTTATATTGTGGGGAGTTTGTTACTTTTTTAAAGAAGTGATCGTTGCTTGTCAAAAAAAAATTAGTAGATACAGCAAATAGTTGACTAAGGAAGCAAAATTAAGTTCAGTAATCTGTTTCACTGCATGTAGCCCTTAAACCCCAAAAAGTTATTATCAAAGTAATGATCTTGTACGTTTTGAGATCTTGTGCATCCTTTACCCCTTCGTTAGTGAACTGTACTTTTGTTCTTCGTCATTTCGTTCACCATACTTAATATCCCATTCAACTCCCTCTGAGGAGTCAGTCGGGGTGAGTGAGGCTGAAAAAAGTTTCCATCAAGAAGCAAACAAGAATGGGGATCTTTTGGGGTCGAGGATAATTTTTGGTCCATTTTAGCCACCCTTTCCCTTTTGAGGTGTATTTGTGGTCGGGGCTCATTTGCGGTGCTGTACAGTTCCCCTGTTCCCCAAAATAATTTTGAATTTCACTCTGTTTTCTAAAAGTAATTTCAATTAACATGTTCCCCAAAATTCAATGTTGTCAGCTTTACGAATTCGAAGTTTCCAACGCATAGAGTTGTGGTGGGGATCAGGCCTAACCTATTGCAGAACCTGAAAAGGCATCCGGGTAACGCGTAAACAAAAAATAATCAGCAGTTCTTTCGAAGAAAAAAACGACTTCAGGCCCCAGTCTACTCGCAACCGACTGCAATAGACCAGAGAAGCAGCAAAATTGTCAAACAATGGTAGTCTGACAGTAAAAGTTTATTCGGAAATGATATATTTTAAACTAGCTTGAACATCAATGTCCCCCTGTTTCTGTTACCCCTTTAACCTGTTCCCTGGAGGTCATTTCAGGATACCTCTTGTTTCGTCCTAAAAGTAAATGGTCAAAGTCCCTTTTGTTCCCCATACCCCTGCTCAAATTTCATATTCATAGTGTATGTCTCAAAATCCCTTGTAAAAAAGTACGGTAATCGAGTGAAAAACTCCTCCATACTATTACAACATCTGTAACGTCCACCAGAAAGCACTAGCTTTCATCCGTATCAGAGGTTACGTCTAGGTGTGCAGAGACCAGTGGTGTTCTGAAATTCAGTGCCTAGTGACACAGAATGTCATCCTTCGATTTGTAATAGCAGGCAAATGGTGCCAAAACCGCGACTAAATGTCCATCTAACTAATGTTTTTTCTTTTCTTTTTTGTTGGCCTGCTTCAGGTGTTTGTTGGCAACACAGACGAGAATACTATCGTTCATAACGAACTCAATGGGTCGATTGTAGCACGCTACACGCGTTTTCAACCAACAGCTTGGTATAACCACATATCAATGAGGGTGGAACTATATGGCTGCAAAGGTAATTTTTGTTGGTAACATCCTTCTTTTGTGGAATTCGGAAAAAATACAAACAAATCCTTATTTATTTTATCATTTTTGGCGGCCTTTACTACTGTATTGTTAATATAAATAATTACATTTACCGTCATGGCGTTTCGTGACCGCTGAAGAAAGCTATTCAATTTCCTATTGAATAGGTTTCTCTCATTGAAGAAGCCTTCTGATACTTTGACCGGCGTGACCTCATAGAATGCCCAGGATAGAAAAGAAGGAATTCATGACACACGTTGTTCCTGTGCATTGTGGAGACCCTTTGGGAAAACAATAAACACTAACAAACAAACAAAAATAAAGTTCTCACGAACTAAGAAATATTTCATCCCAAAGCTTTGTTATTGAGTGTATATGTTGTGGTTCAATTTTTTCCTTGGTTTAAATTTCATTTTCCTTTGTTTTAAACTCATTATGATACATTACCATACCCCAAAACAAACGAAAATAAAATTTAAACGATGGATAAAACTGAACCACAAAATATACATGCCTTTTTTTTATCGCAGTTAAAGAGTCCTAGGTCTACTTTAAATGCTTATGATTCTAAAGATTATAAAGGGCCACGGAAGACCGAAGTATAATGAAATCGAGAGTAGCTTATTGCAGGTTTGTTTGATATCGCCATCTTTACTATTGGAATGAACTGAATTTGTTCGTTTTGTTAGGAAACCCCGTATACGGCCGCTGGTTTCTAGATGGCAGTGATCCAGATGTGGGGTAAGTTGGGTTGTATGTATCTTGTTTGTTCAAGGTTTGGTGCGGGGATGGGGCGTTTTATGCCTTACCCCTATTTTCGGATTTCTCTTCCCTTCTTAACTTTCTAGGATAGGATAGGATAGGATAAGTGCTTTATTATCAACAGAGCGCCTACAGACACATGTGTTTACAACGATAACAAAGATTTTAGTGCAATAATTACAGAGGTGTACATTCGTAAAATTTATACAACTATTAAACAAGGTTATATTTAACGCATCTCTCTCTTTCGCGGAAGCGATCATATACGTATTTAGCCACAATTTTTTGCGTTTTCTCTCCTTGCTTCATACTTATCAACGTTGTGAAGGCAGAGCTTGGAGTCATAGAGTCAAGAATAAGATTAGTTTCCTTTTTCAGCGTATTGAACAACTCTCTCCTAGGATCCCTATAGGCTATGCAATTCATCAAAAAATGCTCCTCGTCTTCCAATCCAGTTTTACATAATGGACAGATTCTTTGGTCTGGTGGTTGATAGGGTTTAACGTATCGTCCAGTTTCGATTGCTAGTTTGTGGTTGCTTAATCTTAGCTTTGTGATTGCTACTCTATGATTGATGTTTCTTACATTTGTGAGGTAATTTTCGTAGTCATGGGTAAGTTTAAATTTCCTAAAAGTTCTTAGTTTGTTTTTTTGATGCGGGTCCTTTCGTTCATCATTGTGTATTTCGCTAATCCATGTTTGCTGTTCTATGTCTAAGAGTCTCTGTCGTATATAGTTCATGATTGCGGGAGTGTTAGTTTTCGCTGACCATATGTCGCCAAGACCTGCGAGATTTAATAGTCGTTTTAATTTGCTTGACCA